TCATAACTGTAATGTTGCTACTGTTATGAATCGTAATGTAAATATCTGATATGCAGGATGGTCTTAGGCGACCCCTGTGAAAGGGTTGTTCGACCGCCAAAGGGGTCACGACCCACAGGTTGAGAACCGCTGCCTAAGCCCTGCCCCCATGCCACCCAACAGGATATTTTCCCTCTTGCTTTATTGTTAGACACAATGTATAAACACAAAATAGAAAACAGCAGGGATTCTCTTGGACCTCAATAAACAGCAGGGATGGAAGAAGTTCCAGAATTTTTTTAAAGTGCAAGACATATTAGTGCCCAGGCCAAGGCTGTGGTTGGCAGACCACAGTCAACAGAGCTGGACTAGAGCCTCTTTCCCTCTCCCCAGAGCCTGGCCAACCCCAGGGAGCCCTCCACCAGCAGCCAGTCCATACAGACAGAATGGGAACACTCTACTACAATGAGCCTTCCTCATTCGGAGAGAAGGGCCATAGGTGCTCTGTCAGTTACAGTCTGTTCAAGCCATGTTGAAAGATTCTGTGGGAACACTGACAAGACAGCACTTGACTTGCTAGACAGGAAAGGATCTGATGGGCAACACCAGTTTGGTCTTGAAAAAATGAGTAGAAGTGTCCCAGGTAGACTGAAGGATCAAGCATGGAGTATAGATGTTTTGGGGATCAGAGGACTCTAGATTCAGTGCCATGGCACTTGAATTATCTAAATGGTAATGTGCCAGTGAAAGGTTTTTGAGCCCTGGCTGGTTTTCCTCAGTGGTTAGAGTGTAGGCCTGCAGACTGAAGGGTTGTGGGTTTGATCCCCAGTCAAGGGCATGTACCTCGGTTGCAGGTTCGATCCCCATCCTTGTTGGGACACGGGTGAGAGGCAACCGATTGATGTGTCTCTCTTACATGCTGAGGGTATCCGTTTTGCAGACTGAAAACTCTATAGAATTTTCTCTATGAATTATGAAATACCACTTTATGTGGGGGAAGTCTGCACAAAAATTTTTCAATCAGTCATTAATTTTAAAGTACATTGAATTTGGAGATAAAAACATCTAGACGAATTTGACTTTTATTAAGTATTAAAAAACGAACAGCTCTTTCCAGCCGGCGCCAAGCCATGGATTGCCATGATCTCACCAGGCATGAGCTCCTGTGAATATCCTTTCAATACACTGAGATGTGCAGGCAAGGTCAAGGGGCTGCGCCCCCACTGTGGGCCCCGTGGGGAGCAGCCAACTGAAATGGAGACACAAGAGAGAGAGGCAGGCTCTCGCACGCTCCTGATGGCAGGCAATCTTTCTTTTCCTTTTTTATATGTTTCTTGCTTCTCTTTATTAGTTTATACCCAGCTGCTCACATCTCTAAGGACTGTAACATATTTTGCATTTTTTAAACTTTATACAATTGGTGTCACACTGTGTATATTTTATATGGTTTTCTTTATTTTACTCCACCATTTGTTTTTGACTTTTATTCTAGTGATTCTAGGTTATTCGTTTTCAGGCTACGGTTTTATACTTGCTACATAAATTTACCAGAATGTATGACTCCTCCTTCTGAAGAGCAGTTTGCTGTCCTTACCAGCTTAGTGTCACTTAGACCTGCTTTGGTAAATGCCATGTATTGTTGCATCAGGGCCAGGGCAGCTGGGAGAGGATCAGTGACATGGGACGCTACTTTCCTTTTCCTCTATTGTAGTCCTGAAGGGAGCCGGGATGGGAGGAGGGAACTTTTAACCATCCGTCTCCTTTCTGCTTATGGCTCCTGTGCCCTGGAGAGGGCCTGGGACCTAGTGAGCATCACTGAACCAGACAGAGGTGGAGTCTTCCACACGTAACTGCTGGTGTGGATGTGGCCTCCCAGGGAGAGGACAGAATCAGCACCAGCCAGAGTTGCAGTGGTGTCCTTAGTCCCAAAGGGCTCAGACACACCCTAAGCCATTGGTTCTCAACCTTCTGGCCCTTTAAATACAGTTCCTCATGTTGTGACCCAACCATAAAATTATTTTTGTTGCTACTTCATAACT